TTGGCTTTCTGACACAAGTATGTGTGGCGATTCACTTCGGGGTACTACGGTAGGCTTTCCCCTAGCAAGGATGCTCCCTAGCTTGTCAATTGGCGGTCGTTAGGTGTGTATGTGAGTGTGTTGCAGTCCCGGTAGCCCAGTTCAGCCCACCCTTACCCCTTGCTCTAACCAGTGACACCCGGTGTGTGTATGTGTGTGTGTTGCAGTCCCGGTAACCCAGTGCAGTCCATCCCTACTCCTTGCTGTAACCGGTGACACCCGATATGTGTATGTGTGTGTGTTGCAACCCCGGTAACTCGTTCTGTCCACCCTTATCCCTTGCTGTAACCAGTGACACCCGGTGTGTGTATGTGAGTTTGTTGCAGTCTCGGTAGCCCTGTTCAGCCCACCCTTACCCCTTGCTGTAACAAGTGACACCCGGTGTGTGTATGTGAGTGTGTTGCAGTCCCGGTAGCCCAGTTCAGCCCACCCTTACCCCTTGCTGTAACCAGTGACACCCGGTATGTGTAAGTGTGTGTTGCAGCCCCGGTAACTTGTTCAGTCCACCCTTACCCCTTGTTGTAATCGGTGACTCTCGGTATGTGTTTGTGTGTGTGTTGCAACCCCGGTAACTTGTTCAGTCCACCCCTACCCCTTGCTGTAACTGGTGACACCCGAAATGTGTATGTGCATGTGTTGCAGCCCGGTAACTTGTTCAGTCCATTGTTGCCCCTTTGCTGTAACCAGTGACACCCGGTGTGTGTATGTGAGTGTGTTGGAGTCCCGGTAGCCCAGTTCAGTCCATCCCTACCCCTTGCTGTAACCAGTGAAATGCGGTATGTGTATGTGTATATGTTGCAGTCCTGGTAGCCCAATTCAGTCCATCCCTACCCCTTGCTGTAACCAGTGAAATGCGGTATGTGTATGTGTATATGTTGTAGTTCCGGTAGCCCAGTTCAGTCCATGCCTACTGCTAGTTGTAACCGGTGACATGGGGTATGTGTAAAGTGTGTGCGTTGCAGTCCCAGTAGCCAGTTTAGTCCTTCCCCACCCTAGCTATAGCCGGCGACATGTGGTATGAGTATGTGTGAGTGTTGCGGCTCGGATGGCACAAATCACTTCTTCCTCCTTTTTACGTGACCGGTGCCTTCCAAAGGCCGTATGTGGTGACCGGGCGCCCGGGTAGGAAAGGGGGGGGCCACGAGGCTAAGAATTAGGTTACGTCCGTCGAGCTTCCGTCGTCGCCACCGCTCCTCCGACCTCAACCACCTCAACCCTTCTTCTTCCTCCATCACCTACACTCATCCACTATAGTCAGCCACCTCAACCCTTCTTCTTCTTCCATCACCAACACCCATCCACCATAGCCGACCACCTCAACCCTTCTTCTTCCTCCACCACCTACACTCATCCACCATAGCGAACCACCTCAACCCTTCTTCTTC